AAAAAAAAAAGAAGATAATACAAATATTGTTAAAAATTCATTTTTGTAAACACACACGCATGGTCACACAGTCACAGAAAAGTTTCCGAAGGGTCTATTTGTGTGCCAACCTTGACTATCTCTGAATGGAGATAATCTGGCTTTTGAAGTTTCTGTTTCAATTTCTAGAGTGCATATGTTGCCTTTCTAATAAAAAGAAAAGGGTTTTTTGTTGTTGTTGTTGTTTTGAGTCGGAGTCTCATTCTGTCACACAGACTGGAGTGCAATGGCCACTCCCGGCCACCGCAGCCTCGACCTGCTGGGCTCCGGCGATCCTTCCACCTCAGCCTTCCAAGTAGCTGCAACTACAGGCGCGCGCTACCATACCTGGCTTATTTTTGATTTATTGTAGAGATGAGGTCTCACCAAGTTGCCCAGGAGGGTCTCGAACCCGCGGGCTCAGGCAATCCACTCGCCTCGACCTCCCAAAGTGCTGGGATTACAGGCTGAGCCACCAAGCCCAGCCGAAAAGGGTATTTTAACTGAGGAAATGAAGGAGCCCGTCAGGACTTAAACTAGACAGACTCCATCATTGTGTTAAGTAAAGCGCCTCAGGGTGGTCTGTAGTGAGCATATCAGCTTCTGTATGTAAATGGAATCGTGAAATTCCCAGGGCTCTTAGGTAGCTTTTAGCATGCAATAGTTGGGACTTCCCTTTTCTGTATCTTCTTTATGCTGTTAATTTGCTTTGTTGAGCTACTCATTGAGGACAGAAGCCAATTTTAACTCAGTCTTGTTAGTGGGTTTTAAAATTTGTTCTTGGCTGGGTGCAGTGGTTCACGCCTATAATCCCTACACTTTGGGAGACCAAGGTGAGATTGCCTAAGCCCACACTGGAGACCAGTGAGGGCAACTTGGTGAGACCTCATCTCTACAAAAAATCACATCAAAAAATTAGCAGGACGTGATGGCGTGAGCCTGTAGTTCCAGCTACTAGGAAAGTTGAGACGGAAGGATCGCCTGAGCCCAGCAGGTCGAGGCTTCGGTGGCCGGGAGCGGCCACTGCACTCCAGTCTGGGTGACAGAGTGAGACTCTGACTCAAAAAAAAAAAAAAAAAAAGATGTGTGTCAGCAATGGCAAAGGGAGCTGCTAAAGGGAGCTGCCAGCCTAAGCCATTGTTCCTGCAAATGACCACCCGTGACCAGCCACCTGGAACTCTGGTCACAAGGATATTAGAAAACAGATAGGCGCCATGATGTCAACTCTTCTGTTATTGCTTCACAAGAATGCTAGCAACAAGAGTTTTTTCTTTTCCTTCAACTTGCTGGAAAAACCCTTAGAAAGGCCCTTATCCTGTACATTTAGGGCCACACTTGCCTTTGAGCATTGGCCCTTTTCTGCCTGTGGAAAGTGGATAATCAATTTTTTCTTTCTCTCTGCCAAAAAGGAAAAAATAAGAAGGGATTATTCTATCATGAAACATACTTAAATGTTTATGTGAGCACATTGGAATCCTGAATTCTGTTGCATTATAAAGTATGAACTAACAGAAGAGCAATCTGATAGACCTGATTGCTAACTATCATAATCAGCTGTATGTATTTTTCCCTGTAGATAACTTCAAAATGAAAAGCAAGCAGTATCGTGTAGTGGAAAGAACCAGACTTTGGAATTAAACAGATCCAGAATTGAACCCTGGCTCCACTACTTACTAACCTAATGACCTTTGGTCAACTGCTGAACCTCTGAACCCAGCTTTATAAACGAGAACTAATAACAGTTATCTCATAGGGTTGGTAGAAGGAATAACTGAAGTAAAGAATGAAATTGTGAGCCGGGCTCGGTGGCTCAGCCTGTAATCCTAGCACTTTGGGAGGCTGAGGTGAGTGGATTGCCTGAGCCTGTGGGTTCGCGACCCGCCTGGGCAACTTGGCAAGACCTCATCTCTACAATAAAGTCAAAATGAGCCGGGCGTGGTAGCATGCACCTGTAGTTCCAGCTACTTGGAAGGCTGAGGCGGAAGGATCGCCAGAGGCCAGCAGGTCGAGGCTGCGGTGGCCGGGAGCGGCCACTGCACTCCAGTCTGGGCGACAGAGTGAGACTCCGACTCAAAAAAAAAAAAAAAAAGAATGAAATTGTGTACAAGAAATATAGAAAACATCGAGTAAGCACGTAGCTCTTATAGACTTGCTTTGTCTTATCAGTGTTCTATAATCTCGCAGTAAGCGTGTAGCTCTTCAGCCTGTAAACTAACGGGTGTAGAAGGAGAAGAAATGTGGAATTTCTAGACGTTATCAGTTCAGTCCCTGAACTATGTCCCCTTCTTGTAAATGCCCCCCCTCTTCTGCAAGGTTACCCAGGCTATAAGCATAAGGAAAGGAGGAAATGTGGGCTTGGATTCAGACTAAGAAATAGTTTGCAGCATCTGTTGGGATTGAGGCGGGTTCTTGCCAGCGACACTGGGCATGGGGAAATGGGAGCGCATGTCCCTGCAGGGACATCTGCCTAGGATCACTGATGTTGGGGAAGCACTGTCAGTTCCCCGGTGATACACGTTGATGTCTGTTTTCTTTCCCATTTCTTTCCCTGTCATTTTTGGGCAACAGCTTATCTCATTGCACTACAGTATTATTAGAACAATTAAAATATTAGATAAGAAAAAAGAAACCCAATAATTCCGCCGAGCAGGGGCAAACACGGTTTTGTGCATACCCTTCCAGTTTTTGTCCCGCATGTCACAGACATCTGTGCTTGCTTCCTCTTTCTCTTTGGCCGGATCAGTGGCTGAATTTGCCATCCATCATCATGTTGATGGCGGCTTGGCCTGCCACACTGTGGCTCTGCCGCAACTTACTCATTCCTCACGGTGGACCACGTTGCATTGCTCTTCCCTGTTACAGGCAGTCAGTGAACGTCCTTGAATGTATCTCTTTGCCTCCTTCCCTAAGTATTTTCTTGCCATAAGTTGCTAAACATAGGATTTCTAGGTTTTTAAGATTTGCACAGACTTTAAACTTTTGATCACATTGCCTTAAAAGTAGGAAAAGTGTTAATAATACTAAGTTTAGATTGATCTGCAGAGAAACAGTTTGTCCTGTGACCATTTGTTTCATTGCTCATGATTCTATCTCAGATTTCTCATTTCTGTTTTCACTGAGGTGGAGAAAAATAAACAAGGCAAATGAAAGACAGGAGCTCTAACATTTTTTTCTTCATGTTTTTAAGATTGTTTGGGATCTCTTTGTAGTGACAGAGTGTATAGATCACTGAATGTGGATTTCCTTATAATGTGAAATAACTCATGAATTGTCATGTATCTTGTGCACATCCCATTGGAAATATCCTTATGTCAGAATTCCAAATGAACTATAAATTTTTTTTGTTGTTTTTTTGGGCGGGGAGCGGAGGGTTTTTTGTTTTTGTTTTTTAAGTTGGAGTCTCACTCTGTCGCCCAGCATGGAGTCCAGTGGCACACTCACAACTATCCCAGGGTCGACCTGGGCTCTGGTGATCCTTCCACCTCAGCCTTCCAAGTAGCTGGAACTACAGGCATGCGCTACCACACCCGGCTAATTTTTAATTTATTGTGGAGACGAGATCTCACCAAGTTGCCTGGGCTGGTCTCGAATTCGTGGGCTCAGGCAGTCCACTCGCCTAGGACTCCCAAAGTGCTGGGATGACAGGCTGAGCCACTGAGCCCGGCATATTTTTTTTGTTTTGATTCGGAGTCTCACTCTGTCACCCAGACTGGAGTGCAGTGGCTGCTCCTGGCCACTGCAGCCTCGACCTGCTGGGCTCCAGTGATCCTTCCTTCTAAGTTGCTGGAACTACAGTTACACACCACCACGCCCAGCTAGTTTTTGATTTATTGTAGAGATAAGATCTTGCCAAGTTGCTCTGACTGGTCTCCAACCCGTGGGTTCAGGCAGTCCTCTAACCTCGGCCTCCCAGCATGCTGGAATTACAGACTGAGACACCGGGCCTGGCCTATATGATTTATTTATTTATTCTCCTCCACCCCCCCCCCAGTTGGAGTCTCATTCTGTTGCCCAGGCTAGAGTGCAGTGGCACGCTCATGGCCAATGCAGCCTCGACCTGTTGGGCTCAGGTGATCCTTCCACCTCAGCTTCCTAAGTAGCTGGACCCAGGCACGTGCCACTCTGCCCTGCTAATTTTTTGATTTATTATAGAGATGAGGTCTTGCCAAGTTGCCCAGGCTGGTCTGTAACCCACACGCTCAGGCAATCCTCTCACATCAGCCTCCCCAAGTGCCTGAATTACAGATGTGAACTATTGCACCTGGCTTCGAGTATTACTTTTTTTTTTTTGAGTTGGAGCCTCACTCTGCCGCTCAGACTGGAGTGCAGTGGCCGCTCCCGGCCACCGCAGCCTCGACCTGCTGGGCTCCGGCGATCCTTCCTCCTCAGCCTTCCAAGGAGCTGGAACTACAGGCGCGTGCTACCACGCCCCGCTCATTTTTTATTTATTGTAGAGATAAGGTCTTGCTGCCCAGGTGGATCTCGAACCTGCGGGCTCAGTCAATCCACTCACCTCAGCCTCCAAAGGTGCGGGATTACAGGCTGAGCCACCGATCCCAGCTGAGTATTACTTTTATTCTATATTACAAATCAAAAAAGAAATTATTTAAAATAACAAAGTGTAGATAATTAATATGTTCTGATTGCATGCTTACTACTGAGTTTTCTCTTATTTTTAAAGTAATAATTTATGTCCGGCTCGGTGGCTCAGCCTGTAATCCCACACCTTTGGGAGGCTGAGGTGAGTGGTTTTCCTGAGCCCATGGGTTTGAGACCTTCCTGGGCAACTTGGCGAGACATCATCTCTACAATAAATCAAAATTAGTCGGGCGTGGTAGCACATGCCTATAGTTCCAGCTACTTGGAAGACTGAGGCGGGAGGATCGCCGGAGCCCGGAAGGTCGAGGCTGCAGTGGCCGGGAGCGGCCGCTGCACTCCAGTCTGGGCGACAGAGTGAGACTCCAACTCGAAAACGTAAATAAATAAATAAATAAATAACTATACACACACGTGAGTATACCACCTACATCTGAAAGTCTCCTTCTCGTGGCTTAGTTCCTACCGTGGCTTAAATGAAATGAAGGTGTCTTCTCCGGGAGTTCCTGATGTGTGAAAAAACAAGATTTTTTACTCGATTTGAAAGAAAATAGTGACGGCACATTATTCAAAGCATTTTTTGAGTAATATTGGTTTGGGTTGTTTTAAGATTACAAAGTATTATATGGTCATTGTTAAAATGAATGCAAATAATACAAATTCTCTGAAGTTAAAATGCATGTTGAACACACAGGACAAATGAAAGGCAAGGCGCAAGGTAATAGATTTCAGCTCAGTCATGTCAATAATTAGATTAAGCAGGGCTCGGTGGCTCAGCCTGTAATCCCGCGCCTTTGGGAGGCTGAGGTGAGTGGATGACCTGAGGCCGCGGGTTCGAGACCCACCTGGGCAGCGAGACCTCATCTCTACAGTAAATAAAAAAATCAGCCGGGCGTGGTACTGCATGCCTGTAATTCCGGCTACTCGGAAGGCTGAGGAGGAAGGATCGCCGGAGCCCAGCAGGTGGAGGCTGCGGTGGCTGGGAGTGGCCACTGCACTCCAGTCGGGGCGACAGAGTGAGATTCCAACTCAAAAAAAAAAAAAAAATTAGTTTAAATGTAAATGAACTAAATACTCCAATTAAACGACAGAGTGGATTAAAAACAAACGAGACCCAAACATATACTGCATACTAAAAGAAAAAAAGGGGCAGTGTAGTGACTCATGCCTGAAATCCCAGTACTTTGGGAGGCCGAGGCAGAAGGATTGCTTGATACCAGGAATTCACTACCAGCTTGGCAACATTGTGACCCCTCTCTAAAAAAAAATGGAAAGACAGTTTTTAGATAGGTTAAAAGTTAAAAGATGGAAATATGAAGATATGCCATGTACTAGAAACAGAGCTTCCCAATTACATGAAATACTTTCTGGTTAAAGTGATAAATTAAGGGTGCCTACATAATCAACATTTGTATTCCTAACCCTGAATTGTATCCCACATCTTTATAGTATAAAAACTGCAGTGATAAATTGCATGTTACGCATACCACAATAAAAAAAGAGAAGTCATATAAAAGGAAAAATAAATTAAAATACCACACGTAGAAAAACTGATTTTTTTTCAGGCATTAATTAGCCTTTCCTCCAAGTATTAAAATTTTAGTGGACCAGGTTCTGCCACATGCTACAAGTTCAGGGAAAAAAAGGTAGCACACGCTATTTTATTGATATATCAACAGCTCATACAGCCAAGCGTTTTGAGGAAAAGTCAGAGCTCTATATAGAGAACTCATTTTAAGACTCTTTCATCTAGATTGAGGTCTCTCCAAAATGGGAAAATATCCTTGTGCACTTGTTTTGTTTTGTTTTGTTTTGGAGTTGAAGTCTCGCTGTCACTCAGATTGGAGTGCAATGGCCACTCCTGGCCACTGCAGCCTCGACCTGCTGGGTTCCGGCGATCCTTCTGCCTCAGCCTTCCAAGTAGCTGGAACTCCAGGCGCGCACTACCACGCCCGGCTAGTTTTTGATTTATTGTAGAGATGAGGTCTCGCCAAGTTGCCCAGGCGGGTCTCAAACCCGCAGGCTCAGGCAATCCACTCACCTTGGCCTCCCAAAGTGCTGGGATTACAGGTTGAGCCACCGAGCCCGGCTTCCGTGTGCACTTGTAAAGCTGTGAAATTGAATTAAGTAAGGAATCCTCACAACATTCTGTGTTTTGCTGTGTTGACTATTTTGATATCCTAGCAGAAAGCAAATTTGCCAATATCTTTATTATTAGTTCGGCCAATTATGATTTGAATGTCAAAATCCTGAATGCTCTTTTCTCCCAAATGGTTTAGTTATAAGATGTTTCATAATTGAAAGTTTCTATTTGGAGCCTTGTGAGTAGAATTTCATTGATGTGTGTGTTTTTAAACTCAGGTTCCAGTTTATCGTGCCTAAAGAATGGAGCAGCAAATACCGCCCCGTCTGCATTCACCTGGCTGGAACAGGGGACCACGTGAGCTTTCCCAGGGTGCCTTCCCCGTAAGCCGTGGCCAGTTCTCCTTCCCCGAGCTCTGATGGTGTCCTCTAATGTGCCGTCTTCTCTTTCCGTAGCATTACTGGAGGCGACGAACGCTCATGGCCCGTCCTATGATAAAAGAAGCCCAAATGGCTTCTTTGTTGTTAGAAAACCCTTATTATATCCTTTTGTGGCATCTGAGACATCTTTCCTCTTTCTAATGTACTTATACACTTAGTCGTCACAAGGGAAGAGAGATAGTGACCTGCTTTTCTAAGCCATTAGTTCAGAAAATACTTAAGAAGCAAGAATGAAAAAGAGTGGAAGATTGTTTCGTGTCTTTTAAAAATAACATAAGTATTATACTTCTGTTGTACAATAAAGATAAATTAATAAATCATACTTCTATTTCTTATGAGACTTATGCCGGGGTTTTTTTGTTTTGTTTTGTTTTTGAGTTGCCTTGGCCAACTGACAGCAAAGCCAGGCATTCAGACTTGAGATCCGAGGAGTTCAACTGGGCAACAGACTTTTTTTTTTGAGTTGGAGTCTCACTCTGTCGCCCAACCTGGAGCGCCGTGGCCGCTCCCGGCCACCACAGCCTCAACCTGCTGGGCTCTGGTGATCCTTTGCCTCAGCCTTCCAAGTAGCTTGAACTACAGGCACATGCTACCACACCCGGCTAATTTTTTATTTATTGTAGAGATGAAGTCTCGCCAAGTTGCCCAGATGGGTCTCGAACCCGCAGGCTCAGGCAATCCACTCACCTCAGCCTCCCAAGGTGCGAGATTACAGGCTGAGCCTCCGAGCCCAGTTTATGCTGGGTTTTAATATTAATGAGTCAGTGTTTGCTGTTAAGGAAACACTCATGTTTTGAATGCATTTCCAGTGTCAGTTGAGGCTTAGAACAGTTCTTAACTTAATTTTCAAGAAAACATCAGAGAATTCACAGAAAACACATACTGCTGCACAGATAATAAAGAAATGTTCAACCTTGCTGGTAATAAAAGAAACATAATGTTAAAGCAACAGTTACCAAAGATTTAAAAAAAATAAAGCCCAGTCCTGGGGCGGCTGCTGTGGGTGAGCACTCTGGTTTACTGATGGCTGTAAGACACTAATTTGTACAATTTGACGGGTTAATTATATGGTATGTGGCTTTATATCTCAATAAAGCCTTTTAACAAAAGAAAAATAAGCTGAAAAACCTGAGAACTTCTAAACAGCCTACTTAAGGTAACTAGAAGGAGTTATTTCAGTATTATCTTGTGTTACAGTTTGACTCTTTTGCTTAAATTAATGTGTTCTGAGACAAAAATCACTTAATTATCTTAAAACTTTCTCTTTGACCCACTTTCTCAAATGGCTGCAGGAAGCCCAAGGACCAAGTGTAAGTACATATCCCTCCATTGTTAAGTCTTTATACCAGATATTCAGCAGTATTAAGATTACTGGAGCCAGGCTCGGTGGCTCAGCCTGTAATCCCGCGCCTTTGGGAGGCTGAGGTGAGTGGATTGCCTGAGCCCGCAGGTTCGAGACCCACCTGGGCAGGCGAGACCTCATCTCTACAATAAATCAAAATGAGCTGGGTGTGGTAGCGCGCGCCTGTAGTTCCAGCTACTTGGAAAGCCGAGGCGAAAGGATCACCGGAGCCCAGCAGGTCGAGGCTGTGGTGGCCGGGAGCGTCCGCTGCACTCCAGTCTGGGTGACAGAGTGGACTCCAACTCAAAAAAAAAAAAAATTACTGGCAGTCTTCAGTTAACTATTTCTAAGTTTAATATCCATGTATTGTGGGGGGGGGAGTTTTGTTATAAGACTAGTATAAGCCAGGTGTGGTGGCTCATGCCTGTTATTCCAGCACTTTGGGAAGTGGAGGTGAGAGGATTGCCTGAGCCTGTGGGTTCAAGACCACTCTGGGCAACTTGGTGAGATTGTCTCTACAATAAATCAGAAATGAGCCGGGTGTGGTGATGCACGCCTGTAGTTCTAGCTACTTGGAAAGCTGAGGCAGGAGGATCGCCTGAGCCCAGCAGGTCGAGGCTATACTGGCTGTGAGACTGCCACTGGACGAGAGTGAGACTTCGACTCAAAAAAAATAAAATAAAACTAGTATGAATGTTGACTTTAATATTTATTTTAAGATTTTTACATTTTAATGTCTGGTAAGGAAATACAATAAGAAATTGAATAGACTGACTTAAGGTATATTTTATTTGTGAAACTGTACCTGAAGAAACGATTACATTTTTTCCTTTCAAAATATATTGACTTTGTGTAATTAGATACTGCTCTTTTTTGTTCTTTGCTTTTTTTTTTTTTTTTGACTTGGAGTCTCACTCTGTCACCCAGACTCTGTCACCCAGACTGGAGTGCAATGGCCACTCCCAGCCACTGCAGCCTCAACCTGCTGGGCTCTGGCGATCCTTCCGCCTCCGCCTTCCAAGTAGCTGGAACTACAGGTGCACGCTACCACGCCTGACTAATTTTTGATTTATTGTAGAGATGAGGTCTTGCCAAGTTGCCCGGATGGGTCTCGAACCTGCGGGCTCAGGCCATCCACTCACCTCAGCCTCCCAAGGCATGGGATTATAGGCTGAGCCACCAAGCCTGACTTCTTTTTTGTTCTTATGATCCATAGTTAGAAAATCTGAAAGCAGACATCTCTCTTTTAAAATGATGCATTTGGCGGGGCACAGTGGCTCAAGCCTATAATCTAGCACCTTGGGAGGCCGAGGTGAGAGGATTGCCTGAGTCCACGGGTTTGAGACCAGTCTGGGCAAATTTGTGAGACCTCATCTCTATAATAAATTTTTTAAAAAAGATAGCTGGATGTGGTAGTACGCACCTGTAGCTCCAACGCCTTGGAAGGCTGAGATGGAAGGATCGCTGGAGCCCAGCAGGACGCTGGTGTGGCGGTGAACGCGCCACTGCACTCCAGCCTGGGCAACAGAGTGAGACTCCAGCTCAAATAGGTAAATAAAATCATGAACGTGGATGAACTTCAGGAAACGTTTGACCCTCAGCCCTGGGACTGTAGACGCAGCAAGACGGCGCCCTCTCGTAAGCTCACGTTGTGTCCTGGAAGACCGGTGAAAGCCAGGAAGGCGGCTGCAGGCCTTCGCCAGTCCGCGAGCGGGCAGTGGCGGGCTAAGGAGCCACAGGGCCTGCGTGAGGGCAGCGTGCTCTGCGTGGGGCCGCGGCACAGGCGCAGTGAGGATGTGACGGGCGGCCTGCCAGGCAGCCTTGCTCCGGAGTGGGATGCTGTGGCGGAAGGTCAGGCGTGCTGGCTGGCGTGGGCCTGGGTGGTCTCTCAGGTCGGGAGCTGGCACGTGCTGGAGGTGTAGACGGGTCGGCCACGCGCTGTGAGGTCACGGCATGAAAGTGTAGTGGAGATGATAGTGGGGCCGGCGGTGGCGCACACCTGTCATTCCAGGGCTTGGGGAGGCCTAGGCAGGAGGATCGCGTGAGCCCAGGAGTTTAAGACCAGCCTGGGCAACATAGGGAGACCTTGTCTCTACAAGAAAATCAAAGTTAGTCAGGTGTGGTGGTGCACACCTGTAGTCCAAGCTGCATGGGAGGGTCGCCTGAGCCTGGGAGGTCAAGGGTGTGGTGAGCTGTGATCATGCCACCGCACTCCAGCCTGGGCAACAAAGCGAGGCCCGGACTCAAAAAATAAAATGAATTCGTTATTTAAGACCTGTATATTTATAAAAATGTATCTTTCCATAATTTATTCATAAATTGGGTATTTTGTGGAAATAGACATGTAAGATTTCAGTAATACATGAACCTAGTATTAAATTCTTCTACTTTGCTTTTTTTAAAGAATTTTGCTTTAAATTTTTTTCTGATAATTTCAGTAAAGGTTGTGTCTATAGGGCAGTTACATTTTTTTAAGTTTTAAGTGATTAAAATGTAGGGCAGATAGGCAGCCCCTAGTTGCATCAGTCCATCGTTTGACTTGGCTGCCTTTGAAAGAACGCATGGAGTCTGGCTGCCTGCTGTAAAAGTCTGCAGGCGCTGAATCGCCAGCGCCTAACTTAAGCCCCTCTCTATTGTGTTTTGTGCGGCCAGAAGGTCCAGCCTGAAGAACGTGTCCGACCTGTTTGTGATGGGGGGAGCACTCGTGCTGGAGTCCGCTGCCCTGCTGCACTGGCTGGAGAGGGAGGGCTACGGGCCCCTGGGCATGACCGGGATATCCATGGGTGGACACGTAAGTCTCCGCGCCTCCTCGTGGTCGGTAACAGGTGCGTGTGTCAGCCCCAGGGACGCCGGTGACTTTTGAACGCACTCCAGGTGTGGAACCGCTGGTCACTTGGGTAAAAGTGGGAAGCAGAAGGGACCCCGAGCCTCTGTTGCAGTCAGGAAGTAACAGTGTCATTTCTGTATGAGGCTTGTAGACGCTGACCGTACCGGGTCCCAGTCACCTCAGATCTTCTGTTTAGAATTAAAAGTGTTGCCGCCGGGCTCGGTGGCTCAGCCTGTAATCCCGCGCCTTTGGGAGGCTGAGGTGAGTGGATGGCCTGAGCCCACAGGTTCAAGACCTGCCTGGGCAGCGAGACCTCATCTCTACAATAAATC